TGGCAGTGGCGCCTACTTGTTGGTCAGAAATTGGAGAGAGGCAGTGTATGGCCGTAGGTGCAGGGCGCCTACTTGTTGGTCAGAAATTGGAGAGAGGCAGTTATTTGGGCCTGATATGGTCCAAGAGACTACCGATCAAATTATGATGATTAAGGATCGATTGAAGAAAGCACAGAGTCGCCAAAAGAGTTATTATGATGCAAAGCATAGACCCCTTGAATTTTCAGAAGGGGATCATGTATTTATCCGTTTGTCTCCGACTACGGGTGTTGGGCGTGCTCTAGGAGTGAGGAAGTTGAGTCCTAGGTTCATTGGGCCCTACCAGATTATGAAAAGGGTCGGACCTGTGGCTTATCAGCTTGCCTTACCTCCACATCTGTCAAATTTGCATAGTGTTTTTCACATCAGTCAACTTCGAAAATACGTGCCGGATGAATCCCACATTGTACAGCCGGACAATATCGAAGTAAGAAAAGACTTGAAGTTTGTTGTGGGACCGTTTAAGGTTCTAGCACGTGATGAAAAAGTGTTGAGAAACAGGACTATTCCCATGATCAAGGTACAATGGGAAGGATTGACTCCTGAGGACGCCACTTGGGAGCGGGAGAATGAAATTCTCCAGCGGTATCCTGAGTTTGACGTCAGGTATGTGTAATATTTCGTATTTGATTTTGTGGGCAAAATCCTTAAAAGGTGGGGTGAATATAATGACCCTAAATGGTAAATCTTAATTAGAGATTTAATTTAAGGATTTAAATGCCATAATTAGATTCAGTGAGTGATTCCGAGTATTTTGACTGTAATCATGACTATGTTATGAACAGTGCGTTCTGTCGGATAATTTACAGTTTTGTGAATTAACCGGTAGATCTTAAAAGAGCAAAATAATTTTAGAGACATAATTTGATAATTCTGACGACAAAAATGAGTTCAGAATGAAAAATTGTATAGCCTGGCACTTTTCGTGAAAATCTCGTGAATAGTGTTTCTACCGGGTATTTTGTACTGCTGTTTAAGCAACCGGTAGAGTCCAGAAATAAATAATTGATGAAATAAGAATAAGAAAGTCCAATATATGCCAAGCAAGTCAATATAGGCCCAAGAAAATGATAAGTTTATAAGTTTTAAGTTTCATAAGTAAATGAAGTACAATTAGTGATTCACAGTGCATTTCGTCAAAAATGGTGCAAAAATCATACTGTGAATTATGAATATTGTTTTGTAAGAATTAAAAAGTAATGTAAATGATTTTAGAAAAATAAAAATATGTCAGTAGCTTTAAGTTGGTTCCGGGTCAATTCAAGTAAAAATACGCGATAGAAAAACATCCGATAAAGCCACAAGTATTTATAAAACATAAGTGGCTTACAAAAATCACTATTCACATCTAAAAAAACTGCTCTCTTCTCTCTCTTCTGCCCGAGGATCAGCCATGGGAAGGGATAGGGTTTGCTTTGTTTCATTTCTTGATTTCTCCATAAATCCTACACTAAATCATTGACCCATTATACCAATTCCATAGGAAATCACCTAAGGAAGCCATTCCACCCCTCCATTTGAGCTGATTTCGTTTGTGGAGGGAGATATTCATCACCCCATTTTCGTGCACTATTCATCCAAGGTGGAAAAAGTGAGTTTTTGATGGAGCTTGGCTTGGAGGTTGCTTTCTAGGCTTTGGGAAGTTGATTAGTGGTAAGAAACCTTTGTTTCCATGATGTTATTTTGATGGTTTGTGTCATAGAAATTGTGAGCATGTGTTGGTGTGAAATAAATTAGTTTAAAATTTGAATTGATGATGGATTGATGATGTGTTGGATATAGGAATGTGGAATAAGCATATGAACATGTATAAAAATTGGAAAAAAAAATCCCATGGTGACATACCCTAGATTTCGGCCTTGATAGGGTAATTAGGGGTGATGCACAAAGATTTATTGTATGTATTGGGAAGATTTAATGTGCTTGAATAAGAGGAAATTTGATGAGTTAGTAAGAATGTTAAATTTGAAAGAAAATCCTTTGAAACATACCCTTGATGTTTCGGCCTTGAAGGATTTAAAGAGCTTGAGATTCCCAAAAATTAAATAGGAACTTGGTATATATTATATATTTATGTACGTGTAGTTGTTAAATTAAGTGAGGAAAATGTATTGTAAAAGAGAAGGATCCTTGGAAATCCCCTTAAAGGATTCGACATATAGGGTGTTTAGGGAAAGATGTTGTCATATTTTATTTTAATAAAATATGTGTGTTTCAAAGTATGAAAATGATAAGTCATGAAATGAAATGGTTTGAAAAGAAATCATGGAAAAATATATTGATTTCCTAATTTTAGGCCCACGGTCCTTTAAAGTAAAATGCTATGATTTATGTTGGAAATTCGTAAGGAAATGGATGATTAAATTAAAGAACACCAACAGTTATAAAGAGGTCTAGACTTGTGTATTGGCATAGGATTGGCAAAAATGCAAAGAAATGAAAAGAAGCGATAAAATGTGTGTCTTATGTGAAAGCTAGGCATGATGGCATTTTATTAATTGGTATTTGTGGATTCTTGCTCTAGGTGTACCTAGGGACTAAAAAGGAATCAGAATCTCTTGAAGATATATAAGTAACTTGTGCAACAAGTAAGGGTATTGGTAAAGCTTCAAGAGGTAAGCTCTATGTTTAAGGAGTCTTTTCCTGCTTGAGTGCTCCACCATGGTTAGTGAACTATGGTTGGACTGTATGACTGTGATTTAGATGCTTTGTATAGATGCATTCATATAGAGTTATTTGATAACATGATATGTTTTGCTCTGATATGACTTCTGTAATATGATTTCTGTAACAATCTCTGGCCATTGATTGTATAGTACCCGGATGTCCGCTTTGGGGTCCTCCCTCGGGACTGATGGTGTACGCCTCTGATATGTCTGGTTCCGCTTTGGGGTCCTCCCTCGGGAACACGTGCGTTGATTTCCGCTTGGGGTCCTCCCTTGGGAATGACGGCGCACATCTCTGATATGATATGGATATATGCTCTGTTCTGTTATGATATCTGTTATATGTTGTATTTGTATACTCTGTATCTGACTTTCATGCAGGAGTGAGCCAGGGGTATGGAGAATTCTCTATAAACCTGGAGCTTACTGAGATTTGTAATCTCACCCCTCTTTGGGGACATATTTTCAGGTGCCCAGATTCCCGGTGAGTCCTCACTAGGCAGGGACACGACACGTGGCTGAGGCAGTTGACAGATCGGATTTTGAGTGGCTGTAGGCTACTACCTTTTGGAGTGTTTGATGTCTTTTAGTATTTCTGCATTTGATGGATCACGATATTGATCCTTTATTTTGTATATGGCCTGTATATGTTTTGTACATGTCTGTCACTTGGAGGCGTGTACATTTGGGTATTCAGGCACGTTATATGATGATGTATTATTCAGTTTATGATTACGTGTTGGATTGCATGCTGTTAGATATAGTGGCACTGAGCCAAGTCATGCATGCGCCCATGGATGGGCATTTGATTATATTTGTATAAACTGCTTATCAGGAAATGCATCTGAGTGGGATTGGAAAATCCTCAGTTGTCCGATTTATAGAGGAAACTCTGCCCGATTTTCGTTTACGACGAAAGAGAATTTAAAAAGAAAAAGAAAAAGTTAGCTCGTATTTTCATAAGTTAAGTCTTCCGTTGTTTTCTGTTTTATCATATGTATGTTAATTGAACCGGCTCGAGACGGGGATGTTACAACATTGGTTGAAGAACAATTAATGTGGGTCTTTATAAGACCTTTGGCACTCCCATCCTTTGAGCTAACTTTTGAGGTGGTGTATCCAAGGTTCTTTAAATTATTTAATAATATAAAAAATATGTTTATAGTATCCGTCTTTCTAAAGTGTGCCTAATGGCAATGCAAATGGTTGGGGGTAGATAGCAAAAGCAGAGAGGGAGACATGTTACAATAACTAGTGGTGGACCTCATGAGAAGGACACTAGTACATGGTGTGGTGCTTCAAAGCCATGGGTCCATCTCAAGGGTTAAACGAAACTATGCCGCGTGGTGGATCAGATGCTAGATAGAGATATTCGCAAAACAAGAGACGATGATCTCTCTTCTAATAAAAAAGAAAAAAAGAAAGAGAGAGAGAGGGTAATCTTGAGATTTTATTCTAAACTTGTTTGTCCTTATTCCTAATTCATATGGAATGGATAAGTTGTTGGTGAGCGTTAAAATATTCTAATATGTATCATAAATAAACTGGGAGGGAGCTTGCTTCCGCTGTGTGTTTTTTTCAACTTCAAAATAAGTGTTTTTGAGTGGATCTGGATGTTTGGAATCCAATGGCTGTTCAACCATGCATCGTATCGTACCCCATATATTTTAGATCCAATTGAACGCACCGTGTTGCTGTCGGTGCATTTCAACCGATTAATTGGCCAAGCATCAGTCTTACTTGCACTGCATGAACTATTCATATCATTGGATAAACGCATGGATATGACGGAAATAATAATAATAATAAACTTAATTAAAGTTATATTTTCTTTTTATTTTACATTCATTTTTTGATTGAAAAATTAAATAATTCTTCTTTCAATAAGAAAATAATTACATAAAAGTGAATGTTGACATGCTTCCCGTTTTTCGTTTTGTCATTTTCCATTGAAAAAAAGTTGGTATCGCTATTCCCATTCATAAATCTTCATTTACAAAGTGGACGAGCAGTTGGTTCAACTGCTTTTCACATTTTACCAATTATGTGTCGGCAGTAATAATAAGAATACTGCATGCAATTTTTCTCCATCCTGCATTTTTTTTTTCCTTACTCATTAAAACTATTTTGATTATTTCAACTTTTGTATCAAAATCAAACTAAATTACGGGATTTTCAAATGTTTTTTATTTTTTTCAGAACATAAATATTTGCACTTTGTAATGTAAGAAGACAAACTTTATTTTCACTTCTGAGGGGTCTAGCAATTGCTAAAGAGCAGCACTTTTGCCTTTTCACTCATCTCTATACTAAAAAGCATATAAACAGGAAGAGAAGCCTCCGTAGTCCACAGACAGAGAGAGTGTAAGTGATTGAACCAGAGATGAAGCATTTTGCTTTAATGTTTCTTTTGGCCTTTTTGGTCCATCAGGAGTGTTTCCATGTCAGTGTGGAAGCTGGGGATGGTTTCGTCAGAACTAAAAGCATTCACTTCATGTTGAATGGAAACCCCTACTATGCAAATGGTTTCAATGCTTACTGGTTAATGTATGCAGCTTCTGACCCATCTCAGAGATTCAAGGTTTCAGCTGCTTTCCGTGAAGCAACTAGCCATGGCCTTACTGTTGCTAGAACCTGGGCATTCAGTGATGGTGGTTATAGACCCCTACAATACTCTCCTGGCTTCTATAATGAGCAAATGTTTAAGGTATCCCTCAATAGAATCTAAGACCCAAAAAAGTTGAAAACTTTGCTAGCTTAACTTATTATTTGCTTGTTGAATGTATTTTTCTGATCTTCTCTCTGTTTGTTTGGTTGAAGGGGTTGGATTTCGTTATTTCCGAGGCCAGAAAGTACGGGATTAAGCTCATACTGAGTTTGGTGAACAACTATGAAAGTTTTGGAGGGAAGAAGCAGTATGTGAACTGGGCTAGAAGTAAGGGGCAGTACCTGATATCAGATGATGATTTCTTCAGGAGCCCTGTTGTTAAGAGTTACTACATAAACCATGTCAAGGTTAGTAGAATTTATGTGTTCTTGCTTGGTAAAATTGTACATGCATTTGTTTGAATGGATAGAATCTCTTATTTATAATTACTTTTGCATTTGTTTTTCCGATTATTTTATGATTAGTGTTATATTAAATGAAAGTGGTAACAGCATATTTTTGCCTCTTGGGAAACATTATTTCAAGTTCTGATTTATCTGCATCTTCCACAGACTGTTCTTAACAGATATAACAGTTTCACTGGCGATCATTACAAAGATGACCCAACAATCATGGCCTGGGAGCTTATGAATGAGCCTAGGTGCACATCAGATCCTTCAGGGAGGACTATTCAGGTCAAATATCTTTCCTTGTTTGTTCCCCTTCCACCCTTTTTCTTTCTCTTTTTCTTTTTTCTTTCTTCTTTTTGACTTTCCCCTTATATACAGTGCTCCATTCAAATCTTGCTTGCACCGAAAAAAAATAGTTTATTCACGAAATAAGACTTCAATTATTATTATTAATGGTAGAAGAAGACCAGTGGTCTAGTCAAATCACAAATCACGGGCCTGGTTTCATGGCCAGGCAATTCTTATATGAGCTGACTCCTTAACTTTTCATAATAGGCTTGGATCACGGAAATGGCTTCTGTTGTGAAGTCCATAGACAGGAATCACTTATTGGAGGCTGGACTCGAAGGGTTTTATGGACAATCAACACCACAAAGAAAAAGAATGAATCCTGGTTTTGATATAGGGACAGACTTCATTGCAAATAATCGGATCCCTGGCATTGATTTTGCAACAGTTCACTGTTATCCCGACCAATGGTAATTAAAAAATAAATAAAAAATAAATAGTTCATGAGATACTCAAATTCACGGGCACTCCAAACATTGTTACTTTTCTAGTTCACGTGAAAAAAATGATAATAATAACAATAGTCAAACGTATGTATGTATATTATGATGGGTTAACTTAATAATTTCATAACATGAACAGGGTATCAAGCTCAAATGAGCAAGATGAGCTTGCATTCTTGAACAACTGGCTCAGTGCTCACTTTTCAGACGCACAATATGCTATAGGGAAGCCAATACTGGTAGCAGAATTTGGCAAATCATTTAAGGATTCGGGTTACAGTAACTACCAGAGGGATCAAGTTTTCAATTCTGTGTACTACAAGATATACTCGTCTGCTAAAAGAGGTGGACCAGCAGGAGGAGCATTGTTCTGGCAGCTTCTTACGGAGGGCATGGAGTCTTTCCAAGATGGGTATGGGATAACACTTGGTCAGAGTTCCTCTACGGCCAATGTCATTGCTCAGCAGTCTCATAAGCTATACCTTATTCGTAAGATTTTTGAGAGGCTTGCCAATATACAACGATGGAAGAGGGCCAGATACAACAGAAGAAGCTCTTCACGCCCTGGTGGAAACAGAGGCAGGAACATTGGGAACTGACATTGGAATTACCACAAGTGAACCAGTTACTCTCGTTTGTTTTGAAGATTTTGTGAACCAGTTTCTCTCCTAGAGATGAATCATAATGTTTTTTTTTTTTTTTCATCCAGGAGGGTAACTAATTAGTTATGTAGACGTGTCCTGTTTACTTTGTTTCAGCTTCTCCCTTGTTTATTAAAGAGCAAAAGCTGCTCCTAAGTTTTTCAATGCTATGTACTTCTTTGTTTACCAAAAACACCAAGAGCTGTAACATCGCTGTTATTTTTACATATTTTTCTTCCATTTCCTTAATATAGTAAGAAGAAATACAATGGACTGGGCCATCCATTATGGGTGTGTTTAAGATAAGTATGTGTTCTAGGAATATCTCATGCTTTAGCCCATGTTCGAACTTTGAAATGAGAAGGCATTGGACCAGCCTAGGCCATGTCTTTCTTGAGCACCTATTGACTATGTATACATTTAAACTATAATTTAAAGTCAGTTTGTAATGAAATTTTCAAATTTGTATACCTAAAACGACATGATTTTGGCTATAATAGTTTTTACTCAATGTAAAAGTAGCTTTTTTAATTTTTACTAAACCATAGTTTAAGACTCCTTTAATTTCAAGTCAACTAAAATTTTCTCTAATATATTAATGGGTAAATGAATTGTTATGTTACAAGAGGTAACATAACACCCAATGGGTGCAGCTCAGTTGGTAACTTGGCACTGAGTTAGTGGGGTTGGACGTGTGTTCGATTCCTGCTGAATGGGGAGGGGGCTGAACCTTTAGCCATCACTGATCCCCCGCACTCCGGATTAGTCACATAGCCGGCTCAAAGACTCGAAGCTCGTGGGGATACCGGAGGGAGCCAACTCGCCTCAAAGAGGTAATTAGGGTTGGGTAACTCCAAAAAAAAAGACGTAACATAACAATTCCTACTCTCACAATGGAGAGGAGAGTGTAGAGAGAAAAATTAAGAAATGAGGCTCACATATAATTATGAGAGTAAAAATATTTTGTTACATCATATAACATAACAATTTATTTATCTATATTAATTTAAGTTAAGACAAACCCAAACATATTTGTTGTCCATATATAAAATTATATATGTACATGTACGGGGCTCGAATTTAAGATAACTACTTAAACAGAAACAATCATGTGTAGTAGTACTTTATATTTGATAAGATATTATGTTACATCACTAGACAACAAAATATTATTCAAAATCTTTATTATCTTTGTTCGTCTTTTCTAACTTAAAAGTTAAAAAAAACACACACACACATAATAAATATATTTGTATTGAATTTGTTGATTTCTTAAAAAAATGCGTAAACCTCTCCCAAAAGTACAAGTTTTTGTATTTTTAAAAGTACATCAACTTTCATGATAACAAATTTCATTCGGTTGTACGGCGAGCCTATCTCACTTTTTTTTTTTTTGGGTACATAGAGCCTATCTCACTTAGTTGGGACATTTGCTTGCAAGTTCAAGAAATTCAAAACCACGAGAAATTCCTTTTCTATCGTCCTTTATCCCTCTTCCTTCTTCGCTCTAGTAGATATTCCTTAAACACTACTCTAGTGGTGGAATCTCCCCAAAACCTTAATAAGATCTAGTATTAAAAAAAAAATATTTTCTCACGTAACATTATAAAAGATTAATCTCTTACACTCACATAATAAAGGAGAGATGAGAGAGAAAAGTATAAAGTGAGTTCCACCTTTGAATTGTGTGTGTAGGAGAAAAATATTTTCTCACGTAACATGAGAAAATATTAACCCTAAATCGGGGAATGCTACTCTCATTTTATATGAGAGTAGTTCTCTCATGTTACAGAGAGAAGCCACGTGAGGCCCACCATTAAATGATAAAAAAAAGAGTGGATGAGATTTTTAAAGTGATATAACATGAGATAATTACCGCATGTAAAATGAGAGTGATATTTCCCTTTCATAAATCGCTTTAGTAAAGATGAGCATTTCCCTATTTCTAATTCCATCAAACTCTATAGTATTTATATTGAATTTACTTATTTTAAAAATATCGCAAAAGTATTTTGCCTTTGCGGCAGAAAGATTGATTCGCCACAATCCTGGTGAATATGTGTCTGTAGCAGACAAAGTATTTCTGCCGCAAAGGCAAAAATACTTTTGCGTATTTTTAAAAATAAGTAAATTCAATATAATACTTTTGTGTATTTGTATTCTATGTTGCACCGACACTGACACGGAATACAAGACACGACACGACATGTCGATACGTTAATTTTAAAAAATGTCATATTTCGATACGTTAGGACATATTTTGATATTAAATAATATTTTTAATATATATAGAATAGTTTATATTTGATACATATAACAACACATAATAAGTCATATAACCAATCAAATATTTAAATTCAATAACATAAATATAAAACAAAAATAATTTTTCACACCTTATTAATTTTTCACGTCAAATTTCATAATAGAAAAATATTAATTTATAAATTATTTTTTCATGTTTAATTAATAAAATAAAAAAATTTAGACCTAAAGAAAAAATGTGTCTGAGCGTTGGCCGCTTGTCGAAAAAAATTAATCGTTTGTCAGAACATGTCAGAGCATTGACCAAATATCCCAAAATATTGACAGCATGTCAGACGCATGTTAGTGTCCGACACGTTTTTTTTCCCGCCAATTGTCCTTGCTTCTAGCTTAGTGCCTGTTTGGATCCTCTCTTTTTTAAGCTAGAAGCTGTTTATAAGTATAAGCTAGGTCAAACAAGTTTTAAAAAAAGCTCTTACAGTGAAAAACTCTTTTTTTTATAATAAAGGAAAAAGTTGAAAATTAAAAGCTCCTTCTCTTGTATGCTTTTCTTGAATTGTGTACTTTTTTTTAAATGAAGAGTTATAAAGATAAAGAGAGAGATAATTTTCTTAAAATATGTGCTTTTAAATAACTTTTAAGCTAAAACTTTTATGTGATTACCAAACAGCTTTTAACTTTTTTTTAAACTCTTTTTTTGGCTTTAGTTTATAAGTAGCTTTTAGCTTAAAAAAACATGATCCAAATTCCAAACAGGCTCTTTTTTAGTACTTTTATTTTTATCAAATTCAATTTTTGGTTTGTCAGTAATTATTGGCACTCAACATCCAAGAGAAGCATGTAGGGATTTGACACTAATGAAACATAGCTTATTTTCCTCTGTCTCTGCTTCCCATACTCCTTGGTAGAAATCTCTTAAGTTCTACACATACATTTAGTACCCAAATAAATAAATAAATATCAAATTAAATTTAAAATAAAAAATATCTATGCAGTTTTAAAATAAAAAACAGTGCTTGCATGTGGAAGCCTCATTTGATAACTAGGTATCATGAACAAAATGAGATGTCATCAGCCATTGGAACATGCTACAATGTAGTAAAGTCTTAGTGAAGTTTTATTCGTTTTGAAGCCAATAGCGAATTGCAAATAAAACAAAACCTAAGCAAAGTCCTGCAGACACTAAAACAACAATGATTCTAACCCACAGAGAAGAAACAAATGCATGCAGCATAAAACCATTCCATAGCCAATACCACAAAATAGAGAAAATGGACCCAATAGCAGCTCCAACCAGCACTTGACTCATTGTATGAAGTCGTTGCGACACCCTTAGGTACGACTGGAAAAATAGAATAAGCATAAGCAACTGACGTTTACAAATATTTGCTATTATGATAGTAAACTAAAGATGCTATGATAATATACAATGAGCGACACAATGCTAACTCATGAATAGCTTATACAAATAAATTTAGACTTCAGTGCTCTTTTTCAGTTGATACATTTGTTTAATGCTCTTAACATTCCAGTGATTAAGGTATTCATGTCTGACCCAGTAGCTCTTATTGTCGGCGTAAATGTAAGACACAGAATACGCGTTTAGATAATATTCTGAACATTTTCAAGTTCTTTGCTTTTAACAGCTAATGTTGAATCTTATGAAAAAAGCTTTCTGTTTTTCCTGCAAGAGATCAGAGTTCTTTAGAAAATAATAAACATCACAAAAGTTGTCCAATTAGCACAGGTCAGGCCTCAATGTCATGACTAAGTCTGGAATGTTATTATGTACTAATGGAATGGATTAGTTGAATAACATGAACAATTATGTCACGTTATCTACTTTATGCAGCCAATACAAGAGGTAATGAAGATATGGCAATCGAGATAACCACTTTTAATGGATCATAGCTAACAGTAAAAGTTTAGGTACCAATGAACCAGGAATAAAAGCTATACCAGTGACCTAAAATGGAAATATAATATACTTACAAAAAAAGAACCAAATGCCAACATCAGTGCGCTGATGGCAATGGTGAGTCCATTTAGCCCGAGCCATTCTACATCTGCAGCATCATAACAAGAACAAACATATGTTTATAGTGAAGCCATATAATTCTAATATTTTGTATTAAAAAGAACAAAGAAATCCAAAAGCATCAGCACCTCACTGAAGTAGAAAGAAGACAATTCTAATAAAAAAAAAAAACTGCTTGCATTTGAATCTTGTAGATGAATACCGTGGTAATCAATCTTTTCATTCTTACCAATTGAAAGGAAACTATGATAATTGATTTTTTTCATTTCATGAAACAAAACAAAAACACAAAAGCAAATAATTAAGACTGAAGATAATAAAATATGCTAGAGATAAACTTAATAAAACTACAAACACCAAGCCAATATCAGTTCCTTTCACCAGAACTTTGATCTCAGTAACTGATAGGAATCCTGTTGTTAGAGGAAGTGATACAGGGAAACATTTAACCTGGATGAGACAGCAAGGAACATTGCCTAATGTGTTGGGGAAAATTCTGTGAGAATTTGGTGGGAGTGGGGAGCCAATGTGGCTAATGCTTGGGTTATTAAAGAGAACAAGGCTGGAATAGAAAGGCAGGTTAGGACTAGAATTGGGCTTGGGAGAAATCAGAGCTTCTCAAATTGCTCGAATCTATCTTAATGTTTTCTTGTTAAAATTTCCTTAATCCATTGTTCTGCTGTTGTTCTGTTTCCTTCATCTTCTGAAGATTATAATTTCCTTTTTCTTCCAATTTTTGACAATCCACTATATTGCATACTGGTTCTGTTGAAGTCAGTAGAAATTAATACCAGTTGCAGTATTTGAATTCCTTATTTCTACTCTTCTCTATCAATACCTATCGAAAACCTTTTAAGCTTCCAGAACAAGGGGCATATGCTTAAAAAAGGAAAAACACATCATGCAGAGTTGGGTACTATCAGTGCCAACTTAATCTATTATCAGTTTTCTTCGTACATAACAATGGATTCAGACATACAAGAATACTCTTAGTAATTTATTCAAAAAGATAAAACGGGCGAGAGAAATTACTTGACAAAATAACAAAGAAGACAGTAAAGAATATGGATTGTGCATGCGTAGACGGCATCCCAGGATCAGATTTCAGGGTTGAAGGTCGTTCCTGGTTCAGTATATGTTTGAGCAAAACAGAAAGCAAAGCATTCAAAACAGACCCTCCTGCAAACCATAAAGCTTCTGCATCATGCCTCCAAAGAATGAAACCACCATAGAGGGAAGCCACTATCCACTTGCTCTGCAAACAACAGCACCAAACGCATTAGCTCATAAAAATATAATTACACTTAGTGTTGAATTAATTTTACAATGACCATTCCTCAAGATGAGAATTCAAACAGATTATTGAAATTTCAGTTTCAATATAAGCAAGCTAATCATCTTAAATTTAGTCTTATAAGTCTAAAAGGTTTTTCTTATGACAAGCTTGTGGAAGAAATTATTTGCATATAACTACTCAATGACTTCACTTGAAAGAAGATAGTGATCATGGAGGCAGACATCCCATAGCCAGAAATGCTGGTTAGGAGTTTCAAAATTGCTCCAAGAAGGAAAATAAAGCCTTACAAACCCTGCATCAAAGTCAATTTTGGATTCTCTCACCACAGGAAAAAAGAAAAGCAGTAAAAACAAATCTAAACCAGTAGAAGCTAACACTGAGTGCTTATGGAGGCAAAGTAATCCCGAATTAATCAGTAAATAGTTCATCATTTATTATCGAACAATAGATAACCCATCGAAACAATAGATAATAAGTGGCAGTAGTTTACGAACATTCGTTGCTTACTACAAATTCAACAACATGGGATGCATTTTCAGTAACCAATGTCAAATAGAAACCTTGGACTTTTAGATGAAATTAAGAATTGTAATGGCAGAAACATCGACGGAAGAGGTTAGGGAGGATTACCAACCAGTCGATTGAGCGTTGATTCCACCTCTTGAGACAAAAACTTGGGCTGAAACTCGGATGTCCCATCAATGAAAGCTTCTTGTTCAAGCACTTGAATGTTATCATCGCTCTTTCCATCTCTGAAAGCAGAAGTTCCTGTGGATTCATTCATATTGTTTGATACCCAGAGTGTGTTCCTTCCCAAAACAGGTTTCCTTGGAACAAAGCCGCGACAAAGGAATGATCTTGAAGCAGAAAAACTATTATTTTTGAAGTATCTTTGTTTAAGCAAATTCGATCCCAGAAAATAGGAAGAGGGATTGTGGCAAATTAGGGCTGTTGCAGACATGGGAGAGAGTGGTGGTGTAGTTGTCCACGACCACGAGAAAGAAAGCGTGCAATTCCCAAGTGCCATTTATTTAGGAAGGAAGTGTACTGAAAGAGACGCTTCTGGTCATACTTGAGAAAAAGTCCAAGTTAGGCTAATCCTTAACTTTGTCCCAACAACGGCCAGCGAAGAAACTACCGTAACTGTAACTCCAGTGCTTAAGGCCGCAAATGACCTGAGTGTACTAGCAACCAACCTAACAGAATAATTAAGGATTTTTCTCACTGCCGATTTATCTCTGATAGGAGGAGTGGATCTTCATGTAAATAAATGATTATGACAACATATTACTCATTAATAGGGATATAAAAAAAAAGTGTATAATTTTTAGATAAATAATTATGTGATAATTATATGATCAGTCTTTCACACGAAACAATTCGCTCCCATTTATAACAGGGTAATGAATAGCACATGTTGGCTGAGAATTGCCAGGGCACTCATTTATAACACTGCGTGCTTTTAGGTGCTACTATACTTCTTTTTTCCTTTTTGTCAATCCAGGTTCATTCCCTCATTTCGCTCGTCTAGCCTATTTATAATAATAATTAAATGCACTTCTTAACTTTATATATTTGGGATAGGATATTTTTGCACCATATCATAGTAGGGTAATGAATAGCACATGTTGGTTGAGAATATCTAGGGCACTCATTTATAACTTTGCGAGCTTCTAGGTGCTACTATGCTTCTTTTTTAACCTTGACACCATTATTTAAATGAATTAATATTGCATTTTCTAAGTATAGTATCTTCCAGGTGCTACTATACTTCATTTCCCTCATTTCGCTTATAGGGGTTATGATACTTTAATATTGTTGTGAAATTTTAAAATTTAATACAAAATGTTATCGTTAATTTTTGTCAATCAATAATTATTATTTATTGAGAATTAATATTAATTAATAAATTTGATTCTCAATAAATAATAAATATTAATTGAAAAAAATTAAAGGTTAGAATTTGGTGTCAAATTTTAAAATTTGACCTCGATGTCAAAGGAGGATATATATATGGGAAAAACATTTCTCAAGTTGCTTGAGACAATGTTATTTCCGGCCACCTCAAAACTACGTCGTTTAGTTTATTTATTTCCTTATATTAATTGATCCATTGATTCATCTTTGTACGGTTATGATTTAGTAGTCGGAGATAACATTGTCTCAAGCAGCTTGAGAATTGATAAGCCTATATATATATATATATATATATATATATATATATATATCAATCATTGAATTTATTCTAACATGTATAACGAAATTTTTTAAGACGTAATTCTCTGATTCAATGCTTTGATAATAATTGTTACAATTTTTTTTTTTTTTTGAGTTACCCAACCCTAATTACCTCTTTGAGGCGAGTTGGCTCCCTCCGGTATCCCCACAAGCTTCGACTCTTTGAGCCGGCTATGAGACTAATCCGGAGTGCGGGGGTCAGTGATGGCTAAAGGTTCAGCCCCCTCCCCAAGAATTCATTCAGCGGGAATCGAACACATGTCCAACCCCACTAACTCAGGGCCAAGGAACCAACTGAGCTGCACCCATTGGGTATAATTGTTACATTTCATGGCTGAGAAAATAATTAATGTTGATTTTTTTTTTATAACGTGTATGAATTTGCAGTGGGATTTTACATGTATGGACTTTTTTTACAAACATTTCATCGTCCGACTCAAGGTGCTCAAGGAGCGAAAATGTAGCGATCCGGGACCATTGCTCCTGCAGAGAGAGGGGGGGGGGGGAGGAGAGAGGATAGAGAGAGAGAAACAAGGAGGAGAGAGAGAAGGACCATAGAATTTATTTCCGTGCTCAAGAGTATCCAACTATTCTTGGACGGATGATTATTGGTAACATTTCATTGGTTTTAATTAAGTAAAAATTGTATGTCTTTTTAAAATATATAAAATTATATCATTTTAAAAGAGAGATAGAGGTATTTTACTTAAAATTTATCTTAAAAAAATCTCATGCTCTCTCTTTTATAATTTATTTATATCTTTTTTTTAAAAAATCTTACATTTACATCTTTTAAAATGACATATAATTTTCTCTTTAATTAAAAAGTCATCTACGTATTCAAAATCTTCCCACCAATGTTGCTTAGGAAAAATATTTTAATGACATAGGACCACTGAAATTTGGTGGTCCCTTTTTGAAAAGTACGGGACATAGATAAAAATATAAATAAAAGTAAAAAGTAAAGTGAAAAAAAAAAGAGGACTACCGAATTTCAATGGTGAAATTCTTCTCGTCGCTCAAACGCACTGGGCTATTGTGGTTCGTACAAGCACTGGATTTTCATGGGCTCCAGGACCGGTTACTCTACTCGGGCTGGCCCATATTTAGATTGATCTGAAACCTAAACCACAGCATAATGCCATGGAGTGAATTCATGTTTAGTTTTTTCCCGTAACGACAGATATAATGCCACGATCCTTACCACACGGAACATGATAAGATTCAGAACGAAAGAGTAGAAAGAGGAATATGCCTTGAAATGTCAATGGAGCTTGTTCATCTGGTCATCTCATAATGGATGTATTTTATTTATTTATTTTTTGATATTGGGTATGACCATATAGGTAGTAAAACTCTTCATATCAAGTTTTAATACAAGGACTTAAATTCGAGATTACTAATTAAGTTGAAATAATCTCTTACCAATTGATTTACATACTTAAGTAATGAATGTATGAAATTGTATTCAAATTTAGGGGTCTTTGTTGGTACACAATTAATAATTTTATTATAAAGTTTTGATAAAATGGATGGTTTTTAATGAGCTTGATATGTTGAGAGACGTTTCCTTCAACTTAAACTTTTTAAATTTAAAAGAAAAAAATATGTACCTTGAAATTAAGATCTTGAATTGGTAGTCAATATCATCATTTATCAAAGTCAGAGCCTATTTAGACCGCACGATTATTCCACTGGAGAATATCACTGAATGAATTGTGTTGTGTGGTGCATTTGAGATAGAGTTTTACTCAACAAAGTGCCTTCCAACTTCGCATACAAATATCCCCCGTTACCTATATGCACTTTCTAGACAAGAAAGTCACGTCAATTTCACAAAAAGAAGTTTCTCCTTTGAACCCAAAATCCGTTTTTAAGATCATAGTGCTGAAAATGTTTCACATGGTTTTTTATTCCAATACTTTTTTTCACTAACGCGAGAACCATTGAACAATTTAAGTCTTACCTATAAGATACAGGTTAATTAAGATTTTTGTCTACCATTAAGTAAGTTGTCGTTTTGACCATTGCATCTTTAAGTAACGTTACAAAGTCAGTAAAAAAAATGAAGTTTTAATGCAATATAACTATATTCAAGAGTAATTAATGTAAAATAACAGGAATTATATATTCTTCTTTTTTATAAAAAAAATATTCCAATATGTTCATTGCTTCGCAACTAATCCGATTCAGAGCGGGTCCAGAATTAAGGCTTTAAACTCCTCCCAAAGGTGATACTGGAAAGATTCGAACACATATTTTAACCCCACCTACTTAGCTCTCATGCGCCAACTGAGCTACCACCATTTAGTATATATTCTTCTTTTAACCAATCATCATGCATGCCAAACATGTGGAAGAGACACGGAAGAATTTTTCACATAGTATTAATTGCTGCTAGTATCATAAATTATTTCTCACTCAAGATAATTTTATACTTGTTTTGATAATTAATAATTATTAGTATTATTAAATATAATTTTTCACATAGATGTAAAAGACAAACTTCAAACAAAATAATTTTTTATCCCAACAAAAGTTAATATTAGTTTATTTTATAACTCATTTGACTCGTTTATATTTCTAAAGAACATTATAAGGTAGTTGCTTTTATATGGTTGGACAAATCTAAATATTTATGTCTACAAGTTGAAGTTACTTAGCTTCTAACACTCCAATCTCACTATTTTATAGTAATTTTATCAGAAGACTTATTATTTCATCCAATAAAATAATTCATCGTCCAATAAAAACTTAAATTTTGGATAAAATTTTACCACATCATATAATGAATAAGATACCTATTTACTATACTATCTTATAGATATTTATAGAAGTATTAATGCATTTTATATCTTAATATTTTATGTATAAATAAAATCAAAGTTATATTATTATCAATCAAAAATATATAGAAATCAAACAAAATTATAAATATTATTTTCTTTAGAACTTATTAAATTGAGATTAAAATATAAGAAAAATGTTTGTCCTTTTAAATGATACAACTTGTGTCATTTTACTCTTACAAGGAGATGGGATCTACACCTTTATTTTTTTTTGTCCACTCTTTTCCCTATGATTTATTTCTTTCTCTCACTTAAAATGACTCAACTTTACATACTTTGAAATGACACTCACTTTTTCCTAAAATATAATATCATTATTTACAAACAAAATATAATATCATTTAATAAATATTTCAAATTTTATACCTATTAAGTTTTTATAAGTACGTGAAAAACATAACGAACAAACTCTGCAAAATTTTTTTACAAATTACATTAAGTATGATCGGTCATTTGGTTATATTTAAAGTAATTTATAAGAGTTTGTAAGCAAAAAATTTATAAATATAACTTTTTCCATAAAAATAATAGTAATTACTATTATGAATATTATTATCGTCGTCATTATTGTTGTACTTTTACCTCTTGATTTTCTTTCTTTGTATTAAAGGTGGAGTCTAGCATGCCGATGGTCCATGATCACTTGACCGTAATTGTTTTGAAAAAATAAAGAACGGTTGATATTAATCGACGTTGGTGCGATTCTCAATTACAAGGCTGATATGCCTTCTTGTCGGTCCTCGCATTGTTCAACTTGAAAACAACATCTTGGGCATCAATTAATCACTGTTCCTCGACCGCACGCAATGGACACCGGTGATCATTGGAACCCGCCAACAACCATTGTGCCTATCGATCGAAAGCTTCACTGAACGAGTCAACTCGGACATGATGTTACTGAGCTACAACAGTGAAAGTAATACGGGAAAAGGAGGATGGGAGGGAATTTTTCCATTACCATGCATGTACAAGGCAGAATCACAAGGAAGAAGGACTGATAATGAACATTGGAACTCAACGAACTAGAAGCTCACAATTTAGAAGAGACGTTTTCTGGCATTGGCAGTCCAAAAGTAAAAATAAAAAGAAATGCTCATGCGGCATTGAGTTAGATTTTTTTATTATATCGTATCATTGAATGCATGTTTACTAACAAGTTCTATAACATTAAAATTGTAAATAAAATATAAAATAATGATAATCCACATGACTGGATAATCTCAATTACACATTCACTATAAACTCACATCTCCGAAGTAAATAGTTTTATTGACTAATACAAATTCATTTCAGAAACCTAAAAGGTCAAATATATTTTAATAATGAAGATAAAAAATTAGTAAGACAAATAACAGAATTAGTTAAAAATTTATCACCATTAACACTTCCGTTAACTACTGATTATAAAATAATAGTAATAGATGGATCCGAATTAGGATAAGGAGCTGAATTAAGAAAAAAATCTAATAAATATTCTGAACAAATATATAGATATGTTAGTGGAAAACACAAAGTAAAAAAATTAAGTGCTATGTACTATGAAATAGAAACAGTTATTAAAGGATTAGATGCTTTTGAAATTTTCATAGTAAATAGAGAATTTACATTAGAAGCAGACTGTGAAGCTATAGTAAAATTTTGTAATAAATTAAATGAAAACAAATTAGGAAGAAGAAGATGGTTAAAGTAATCTCCAGTAGAACAACCTATACAATTACAACCAATAAAAACAGAAAAGATTTTGAATTTAACAACACATAGTCCTCAAATATGGGATAAAGTTATATATATACATATATATATATATATATACATATATATATATATATATACATACATATATATATATATATATATATATATATATATGTCGAGGTAGAATTCTTTGACACCTCATCTAGTAGCGGACTCAAGAAATTTTATTTATGTCTGCATATTTAGGAGCGAAATTTGCCCCCCTTTAAAGAATATTTTAAATATATTAAAAAATAAAAGAATATAAATAAGTGGTCCCTTTGAATTTTTGGGGTACTCAACAAATATTACGGGACCCAATTTAATCACTTAGAAAAAAATTAACTCTTGATTCATGTGAAATTCAAAATAGATCCATATTAGTCCTTTTGAGAGACTAACATGGATCTTCTTTAAATTTAAAAGAATTTCAATCAACTAGGTCTATTTTGTGATTCAGAAGTATCACAAGTTAATTTTTTTCCTAAGAGATTAAATTGAACCCTATAATTTATATTGAGGACCCAAAAAATATTTTACTCTTTTCTCTAAAAATTTGTGTCTGCACTTGCACACACTATGGCACAAGTGTAGGTCCGCCTTTGACCTCATCTGATGGCAGTTAGATCAAGGTAGATCAATTGTGTCAAATGTTTACAAATCAAAGTCGTTAGATCAAGGCAAGATCAATGAATTTCAGATGAGGTATCAAATTTTTTTTTAACATCAGTGTCGACAAAGGATCATATCACACACACACAAATATATATATAGGGGAAGGTTATATTTACAAATTTTTTATTTACAAACTCTTACAAACTACACTATGTCTGACCGGTTATACTTCAATCAAGAGTGTATGACCGGTCATACTTAGTGTAATTTGTAAAAAATTTATAAACAGATCATTCCCCATATATATATGGGAAAAGTGTTTGTCATTTTAAATGACATAAAGTTATGTCATTTTAAGATAGAGATAGACACAAAAAATTTTTTTTTACTTAAAATTTAAATTAAAAAAAAATTACCCACTTTCTCTCTCCCATGATTTCCATTTTCTGTGTCTATCTCTCTCTTAAAATGACATAACTTAAGTCATTTAAAATGACAAACACCAAACCCTATATATATATATATATATATATATATATATATATAATATTGTGTTATATTATTCTTTTAACACAGAGAATGAAGCATCGATTATGTATGTAATTATTTTTTTTATTGTTTTGTTTACTTATGCTTAAATTTAAATTTATTTATTATTTTTATTAAAAGAATAGGGTGACAATAATAAAACTCTAAATCTCTTTTATCGTAGAAGCAGTGGCGGAGCTAGTGTAGCAACTCAGTTCGGGTCAACAAAATTTAGTTCGGGCCACAGTTATTTAGCCACGCTAAAATGTGGCTAATGTCTTGAAAATAAGCCTACAAATTAGCCATATTTCTTTAGCTAGTTGAAATCGTGGTTAATTTTTAAAATTTAGCCTGGGCCAAAGCCTCTTTTTATCACAACGTGGCTCCGCCATTGCATAGTAGTTTTAATATCATATTGTACAACTAATTGAATCTAAAAGTTTAAATTTGAAGGTGAAATCCGATATATTTGTTTCATATTATTCCTTTTAACAATTACACGCTTATTTGGGGCCCATTCAATACGATATAAAAACTGGGATTGCAAAGTGTTAAATTAATGAAGCTTGTTCGGGGACGTGCATGGTAAGCGAGAAAGGAAAGGGGTGGTTGATTATTAATTTATTGGAGTAAGATGCTTGTTGCCATTGGTCATTTGGTTGTAGTCTTGTAGAGGTAGAGGTGGTGCTCAAAGGGTAAAAAGACAGAATGTTTTCGCGTGTCTCTGGCACTATCTTAGCACGTGACACGAACAAGGGGGTTAGTTGAAAAGTTGAATTAGCACACTGCTGAGCCCTTTGATTGAAGAAGCAATTTTTGAATAAGACCAGAGTGCACGAGCGATGGTACTTTACGCTGACACACATCGACTCACGTGAAATGCAACATCTTATCTCACCACTCTTCACGCGTATTTTCTTTCCCTCTCAATCCCTTCATCCGCCAACTTTTTTCCTTCTTGGCTTTGAAAAAAAAAACAAAAAAAAAAGGAGATGGTAAAATGCCCGTTTGATGGGCTTTTATTCCTAAAAAAGCTGTTTTTTTAAAAATAATTTTTTTTTGAAATTTTTTAGATGTTTGCATAATAATTTTTTAAAAATGCAAAATTGTAAATAAAAATTAAAATGCTGTTTTTTTGTGTAGCCAGTAGTTGATGTAGTTGATTATTTTCGAAAAAAGAAAAAATTAAAATATAATATTTTTTTTGAAAATAAGATAATATAAATTTTTAAAATACAATTTTAACCTCTTCTTATCATATTTATTTTATTTCTCCTTATTCCATGATCATTCAATTTTATCTCTCCTTTATTGTAATTTTATATATAAAAATTATTTTTTTATTTTAACATCCAAATAACTTTTTTATGTAAAAATAATTTTCAGATCATACATTCAAACGTAAAATAACTTTATGTTTAAGAAAAAATTCTATTAAAAAAAGCAATGCATAAAAAGTAATTTTTAGAAAAAATAACTTTATCTTATCCCATGATCATTCAATTTTATCTCTACTTTATTGTAATTTTATATATAAAAAGTATTTTTTTATTTTAACATCCAAATAACTTTTTTATGTAAATATAATTTTCAGATCATACATTCAAACGTAAAATAACTTTATCTTTTAGAAAAAAAATTTATTAAAAAAAGCAATGCATAAAAAGTAATTTTTTTAAAAAGCTCATCCAAACGGGTCCAAAGAATTAAATGATATTCAAATACAAAAATAATGAAAAGGCTCAAAAATATTTAATCATAAAGGGAATCTGATAAACAAAATTGATATACACGAATAAGACCATTTTTTTTAACATGAATAAGACCACTTTCTGAATTGAAAAGAATAATTCAGAAGATACATGAGAGTAATAGATAGCAACAGGTACGATAATTTAATTTCGGTACGGCATTTAAAATAAATTTTTAATGCAACTGATGTAATGTATTTGTCATTTATTTTATTATATGTGTACAAAAAATATCACATTATTTGCTTAATTATTATTTAATTTTTTTTTCCAGATAATTGGCACAAAATGATGCATTAAAAATTTATGCGTTGGTTAGAGAGGTTTGTAGCAGTTTTTATTCTTTTCTTATATACATGCATGGTGGTGGAATAAGTCAATACTGGGAATAAATTTTTGGTGTATTACCAACCTGACTATATTTTTTCAAAAAGAAAAAACTTTTTTAATGTGAATGATTTTTGTTTTTGAAAAATAATAATTTTTTTTATAAATGTGGAAAAAAAATTATACGTAGTTGGATAAACTTGATGGGTTAATTTTTTTTCCCAATATTGGAACGTAGATTTCAAGTCCCCAGGTTCTTTGTAGTTATAAAAAAATCTGTTGATAATGATTAAGGTCTGTTTATTGGAATTCTTTTAATTTCTTACTAAAAGATACATTTAAATTTACTTAAATTAATTAGATATTTTACTTAAAATTACCTTTTATAAGGATAATAAGTCTAATTTTGCATTAATTAGAGAATCGGGTATAGAGATTAATCTCACTTTTGGTGGGACACTTGGTGAGAAAAGATAGGAAAAAAATAAATAAAAGAACGTGTAATTATAGAAAAAAGCCAAAGGAGGACGTGGAGGCATTTGGTGTATATAAGAAGAACAGATCGTGCAAAGAGGAAAGGTTGAGTCTCCTGCATTTAGAGTCCACCCACAAACACACACACACACATATACACAGAGACGGTTTCTTTCTCCATCTCCGTCTTTAAGAATTTCCCTCTCCCTCCCTCTCTCTCTCTCTCTCTCTCTCTCTCTCTCACACACACACACACACACACATTGTCATTCTCACTCTATTGCCCCAATCTTAATGGACGCATTCGACTTCAGCAACGAGAAATCAGAGAAAGGAAGCGCCATGCGTAGATACAATCTCTTCACCGGCATTGCCAAGAAGCTTCGCATTCTCGAACTATGCCTCGCTCTCTTCCTCCTTTCATGGATCCTCACTCGCCTCCCTTTCGCCCTCCGAGTCTCCGCCGACTACCTCCGGAAAATCTCCCCCTTCCTCGGGAGCCCTCTTTTCGTCTTCGCCATCTGCAACGCCATCATCGCCGCCCTGATCGCCCAGTCCGGTCTATTCACCGCCGCCGGCGACGGCGACATCAAGGATTACGGCAGTTCCACATCCGAAGCTCCGTCGCCCGTGGCAGTGGCAGAGAAGGTGGAGTACCAGGATAGGCTGACGTGTACGGATAATGATTCAGGCGCCGTGAAAGATTCTGATTTAAGAAAAGTTTATCGCCGGAGTCAATCGGAGAAGTTGAAGGGAAATGGAGCGGATGGGAATAAGACGGCGGAACGAAAACTCCGGCGATCGGAGACGGAGAAGGTGAGGGAAAATTTGTATCCGCAGGATAAGCTGAGCAATGAGGAGTTCAAGCGTACGATAGAGGCATTCATTGCAAAGCAAATGAGGTCTCTGCGGGAAGAGTCGCTTGCAATTGTTGTTCACACTTCAGAAACAAACAACAACCAGACTTGAGTCGAATCGCTTAGTAACTAATAACAAGTAATGTTAATCGAAACATAAAAATAACAAAGGAAACTGAGCTTCAAAATCAAAATCACAATCCCTTTTAGGCTCTTGGTACTCTTCGTTTTACTTTTTCTTATGAATTTTGGGTAAAGATAAAGATATTAGTATTACTGCTTCGCGTTAATGCCCCCAACTAACCTCCCAATTGTGGTGTACACTGTACAGCATTACTATTTTATTTTTTTATTTGTTTGCCCCTGTAGCTTCTTAAAACTTTGGTAATTTTTTTTTTTAATCTGATTTCGAGGAATTGATGTCTTCATCTACGATTCTACGTGGTTTATTGAGCAAGAGTATGTCTAAAGTATTAATGAGTATCTGGACGAAATAAAATAGATCGACTTTAATTACTTTGATATAGCATGTAATTCGATCCCGCCTTGTTTTGCCAGAGGTTTTATTTTCTATGGTTGCAAAAAATGAAAATGAAAGTATGTGTAATGACAATGCTAACGGAATAGAACCATCCGTTTTCCCGAGGAATATATTCTAAGGAACCAGGTGGATCAGTGTAATACGGATGGGAAAGAATTGGAATCAATACCGATCTCTTTCTGCAGCTTTTTATGTCGAAAATAAGAGGAAAAATAACTATAAAATTTGCTTCCTGGTTTGATTATAGTCAAAGTAAGACATGGAATTTAATTCCGAATCTGATGGCAATGGCTGATGCTTGCTCTGGTCTAAGTAGCATCTGAAAGCATATCTGTGATAGGATAAAATTTTATAAATTGTATGATTCCTTAAAATATTGAACATTTGAGCTTGGACTTCAATAGGATATTTACAAATGGTTTGTGTCTGTATGGTTGGGGATGATTAAAATAACTCCAACTATAGTCAAATTTCATTCGGGACAATAGCTTTCCTTGTCTGTTTTTTAAATAAGTTCCTTCTGCATCCCAATTTTTGCACCTAATATTTATTTAGGCATCAGGCCAAGCAGTTGGGGGACCTATCATGCGACCTCGTAACCAATGGTATTTAACTCGACTCGGTCATGTCTTGGTCAAGACATATATACTACAAATATAATAATAAAAATATCGTAATTAACATATAAATGTGGCTTGATAGTAATTTATGTAAAAAAAAAATTGTTATTTTTTCAAATTAAAAAATTATAAATCTCAAAATACTTTATAACAATTGGCCTGAAAGAATCAACTCAAAGTGTGGTCCAAACTCGACTACAAAATAAATTAGATCTAACATTTAGAAACAACATCCAACCTAATTAATTTTGAGCTGGGTTAAATTTGACCTTGAGCGCTCCTAGTATTTCATATTAGAATATAAAATAGAGAGAGAGAGAGATTTGACTCACTATACTAAAAGGAGGAAGGTACTTTAAATATAAAAGTACGAAATTATAATTGTTAATTGAAAAATCAAGGGAGTTAATTTTAACAACTTCATAATTTGTTATATAGATGCTTGCATTTTATTAAAATTAAAATTTTAATCACAATTATAATTTTATATATTTTTTCTCCGAAGTGATCCTTTCTCTTTAGAGGTCTCAAATGCATAAAAATATAATTTTTAGAGTAACTTTTGTACATGAGCATATAATTACTTAAATATATTCTATTCAAATTCTAACTGCACCTTCGTCAGCTTTTTTAACACTATGTCACGCCTCTCAGACTGATTAATCATTATCCATGTTTTGCTCTCATTGTCCCCCAGAAACTTTTTAATTAATTATTTATTTATCATCACTAACTAAAGGATTCTCCGGTTGATACTTAACACCAATGACCAATCATTGAAGATTTATATGTGATGATTAATGTCAAAGCAATTTGTCTATTACTTTCATTGTCCCTATTATCCCGATAGGAAAAGACACTTTAACTTCTTGTCAAGATATTATGATCTTGGTTTTATATTGCCAGCCAAACCTTTCCGTATTTCCAAAATGTCCTTTTCGCTTCCCTCTCATTGGGATTCTCATGATTGTTTCCATAAACTATGGTAATTGGAGTGGATAAGTTAGTATTCTGATGGGATTCAGATGAAAACCCAACTTATAGATAGAGAGCAACTTTTGCTTTGAATAATTCAAGGCAGAACGGCCACAAAAAAGTTCACAGGAGGGACAATGCTCACCTCCGCGTTTTGCCGCCGATATATATTTCATTTTAGGGACTATTCACAATATGTTCCTTTTTTTTTTTTTTTTTTAATAAAAAGGGGCAAAAGTCCCAAACAAAATAAAAATTACACGACGCGAGAACTTAAAAGATCTACAGAAGTATCCTAAAGAAGGAGCTCTAACAAAGGAGAAGGAGGAGAATGATAAACAATAAAATTATTATCATCCTCAAAATATCTAGAAGCAAACCAGTAAACACATCTGTTATTTTCTCAAAAGGTGTGGACCCAACAAACATCCCAATCTTCAGGACCCAAGTAACATCACAATATGTTCCTTTAGATAATACGAGAATCATTGAGGGACGACGTCGGCTGTTATTATTATTATTTTCACATGCGTCTACCAAATGAGCTTGAATATGCCTATAATGGGGAACAACTGGCTTGGAAAGCTATATATTCCCAGACTCTCTAGGCCACTTCTTTTATTATATTACCCACAATAAAAAAAAAGGACATAGTCATTATTATGTTTTAGAATTTTAGGCTCAGAGAAGTTTGTTCAAATTTTAGATTCTATAGAAGGTTACAAATAAAATCCAATTCATATGTTAAAAAGAACCTTTTCCGTCTTGAATCAGCTTTCAATGGTAATAACTAATAAAGTTCTCCTATGTACCAAAAAAAAAAAAAAACTAATAAAGTTCTCCTGATCATTCAGCATGGAATCCGGAAAAATAGATGAAAATAACACAGCAAGCAATAACACCGTTTTTATTTTTATTTTTTTGGTTGTAACCTTTTAATCACATTGAAAGTATTAAAGACTATCAGCTTTTGTTACCGAAATATTATTTGTTTATTAGGAAGTAAGTTTTATATAAATGGTCTTTCCAATTTATTTTATTTTCAAAACAATATTTCTGACTTTATTTAAATATAAATAATTTATGAATAAATTTAAAAAAAAAGTAATTGAATAAAAAACCCCACTATCCCATTACCCAAAATGGCAGGCATATAGCCACAGGCCACAGACACCAATCATACGAAGAGAAATCATAAAAATCAGACTGCCAGATATATATTCTCTGAGCCAGGAAACACAGGGGAAGGTGTTGGACAAAAGACTGGCTTATTCCCCAGCAGTGTCACAGATCATATCCATTTATGTAAAACATTGAAACATAAACTTTTTGAATCTAGCACAAGTTGAGTTCCAATATATGTTTCTATGAATGAATAATTGATACATAGACTAACTCAGCTTTCATACAGATTTGTTATCCTGACACGATCTGCATTCAACAATATAAAATACTTTGGGACCATAGGCTATATATGCCAGGAAAACATACACCATCAACCCTTCTTCTTAGAGCTAGCTAGGTATGATTTATATTTTATAGAACACCTTTTATCCCCCACATTATACACGTCTCTCGTAAATCTCACCTCTAAGTACTTACTCTGAATTAAGATTGACTTTCTAAAACTCAAGTTTATCCTAAGGGATAAACTTTTATCCTAAAATGAGTTTTTTAGAACTTTCAATACGAAAAATCAATAACACGCTCGATTTAGGGGAGTGGGTTTCTTGAGAATTGTGAGGAAGGGAAGTGTTTGCCTCGTTCAAAAGGAGAAAAAAAACCAAATAAATATATAATAATGTATAGTTCACCTACATATGACATATACAGTGGATAAACAGAGGCTGAATGAAATACTATAGCCTTAAATTTAATGATAAGCTGGCTTCTCCATTCAATGCATCTTGCCTTGTCTTCATGCCATAAGACGCAGTCTTCAACGAATCCTATGAATTGGGTATTCAAGGCCTGACAAAAGGGTGAGGCCGTGCGTGAGGGTATTCCACGAAGCCTCCTGCTGTTTTACGCTGGGAATTACTATTTCTTTATTGTTTGGTAATTTACAGTAGAATGATTTTAAATTGAGTTGGACCAAGGCTCAAATGTACTAACCACTTTCGCAGACCAAGTTTACCCAATAGAAGCGACACTTAACCAAAGATTTTAATATCTCATTAATTTTGTTTGCCATCTAGTTTAAAACAGCTTAGAAAGAGTGTAAAAAAGAAGTCTGGAAATTGGATGATTGTTTTCTTATTCCGCAGAAAAAGATAATGTATATGCACCCCAAGGTCCAGCTTGCCTTAATATAGCCCCTTCCTTGAAGACAAGATAGATAATAAACAACAACAAAATAGACAGCTCATGAGTCATCAAGAATGCATGGAATTACATTTTTGTTCGCTATAACATATATCACTGTCAATTAATTAAGTTAGACCAAATATATTAAGTGAGTTTTATATCATATTTTAATCCAAAACTTTAAAGTATTAGGTTCATAGATTCTCCTACTTATATTTACTTTACTTAGCTCATAACTTCATTTAATTTATTATCAATCAATATGAGATTCCGTCACACTTAAATATCTTAACACGGATTTTATTAAGAAAGAAATTATTTTTGTAAATAAAGAACTCACCTGCCAATTGCTGTGTGATGGCAATTGGAGATTTACATAAACTATCAGGCATCTTCGTGTTGTGTGCTGCCATGCAAGTGAAAAGTGATGAACCACTTTGGGTAACGGACCAAGCCCAAGCTTGTAGGCCTTGTTTTATACAGTAGTGTTGGACTTCTTCTGAGATAAAAAAAAAAATTGGACAGCGCAGAACATGCCCCTGGTTCCGCCGCTCCTCCCCTCATACATTTTAGTTCGTTTCACTCCCAAATTTTTAGAAAGGGAACTAAAGATTTCAGTATTTTCAAATGTGTAACAAGAAATCTTTTGTCTAATTGACATTCATTTAG